AATTGAATTGAATTGAATTAATGAGTGAAATAAGCCGATACAAGGAGCCGATTTTACACGACGTCCATTTTACAGAGAACCTGTATTGCAAACAGGAGGTGTGAAACAATTGCATTATGAGAACTATAGGATCTAGTATTTGTATTGCCTTTAATCGGAGTGACAGCTGAAGAGTGACAGTGAAGGGGGGAGACAGAGCGAGGGGATGGCATGCAGCAAAGGGCCACTACAGCAAGGACTCAGGTACATCGGGCACCACCTCTACCGGGTTAGCTATCCGGGCCCCCCAGGATCTGGTCTTTTCTGACCTTCATGGTTTGTTTCTGTTCCCTTAGATGTTGACCTGCCATGTTTCTACAGTAGCTTAGAATGGTCTAGTGAAGTTTTGGGGTCACCATAGTTTTCTCCTACACACTGAGATGGAAGACCAAGCTACATTCAAACACACTGGTCATTTAAGAACTGATTTTATGTATTACTTTTAAAACACTCCATGGTCTGTCTCCAGCATATTGTACATTGCTTATTGCCCTTACTTAATTCAACCTCAGATCCAGCCACAAAACTCCAGTTGCATTTCCCCAGTCTAGATTTAAAACTAGAGAAGTCAGTAACTCAAAATCTGAAACAGCCTCCCTTTTGAAATGTGTCTGTCAGTGACTTCCTTTTTCATCTCTTACTAAAGACACTTTTTCTTTAAGTAGTCTTTCTGTGCCTTGTCTGTTTTAAATCTTTCCATTATTTTGTCTCATCTATACAGACCAAATCTCCTCCTTACATTTTTCCAATAATTTCTTAATTTAATTGTTTTGTTCAAGGAACAATGAACAGAATAACCTGTTAGAGGTGAATTCAAGTCAGATTTAAAGGATCTGGACACACTGCTTCTAAATTCTTATTTTCAACTTGATTATTTTGATAGTTAAAAAAATAAAAGTAGTAACTGGATGAAACTCCAGTTCTATGAGTAGAGACAGATCTTTGAACTCACCGCCCAGTCAGGAGGTAGCATCCACACACTATAAAACACCAGTTTATGTCTGTTCATCTCCCTGTTTTACTGTTTTAGCCACCTTGAGTACACACACAGCACTCAGCCAAACATAAGTCTCCTCCTGTTGTCTAACTGACCATGGTATTGTACCACAGGGAAGATGGCCGGTGCATCTCTGAAGGAGCAGTTGGACAACATACTGCACATTACTGCTAACTTCTATACACTGGCTAGTGTTGCTCAGGCGGTGTTAGCAGCTACCTGCTCATTTTAACTGCTGTGTGAATTTTGGTTTAGTCTGTTAATGCTGTTATATTTATTTCTCTTGTGAAAGTGATTTTGAGTTTGAGCAATACAATACAATGTGCAATACAAATTAAGTTTAATGTTGTTCTTTATTATTATTATTATAATGTGGAAATAAGCCACATTTGGTAGCATTGTAAAAAAAAAAAATCACCGTGGCTGGTGTCAGGCTGAAACTGTGGATGGGTTTGAATTTCATACCTTTAGTGGCACCATTTTGAACCATTCAACCAATCTTCAAAAGCACTTCTCCCCATCATAATGTGTAACAGCTTATACCTCTTAACTCATTATTGAGGACTTCCGATGCTGAATTACAATGAGATCAAACACGCACACATACACTCAAAGTTTTTCCAGTCCTGTGTGCTGCAGTGACATGCAGCCTATACACACACGTCTTTGTCAGGCCGTTCTTTGTGGACTTGTACCTTTTCAGAGGAGCCATTCTGTCCCTCAGTGGGACCACCAGTGAGTTAGAGAAGCAGCCAAGTCGGACACTGGCACTAATTGGCTACGCTATTAGAGGCCCACAGAGCCACACTTAGACTACAGAAATAAGCTCGTCAGTGTGAGGATGGAGGCTGGGCACGGTGCCTGCGTGAATGCGTGAGACAGAGGAAGAGAGATTTCTAAGTCTCTGATGAACATGAGAAACATACAGTTCAAAACCCTCCACCACCCTGCAACACACACACAGCCACCACTTTCCATCCTCTGACCAGAGCAGTTAATTGGTTGGCTGTGTTTCTAGTGTGGTTCCGGGGCGTGTGTCGTGTTTGTTGTGTGTGTGTTGTCGTGTTTGTGTGTGTTGTGGGGGGTCTTTTGTCTGATGCACTTCAGCTGCTCTGATTGACAGCAGGGACAGGAAGTGAGGGCGTGGGGCTTACAGAGGAAAAGAGCTTTTCTCTCTACGCTGCCTTCCTCAGATTAACATTCTCCTCCACCTCTCCAAATTCCTCTCGTCCTGCTTTTTTTTTTTCTTCCGCTCCTGCTTTCACCATCTCTCTCTACTCCCTGCCATGCCACTTTCCTCCTCCTCTGCATCCTTCTGTCCATTTATATCCATTTATATTCAGCATCATACAATACTTCTCTTTAAAGACATTTGTGCTGCCTTTTTGTTGCCCCCTTCTCGCCTTGTTCATTTCCTCAGAAGCAAAAGATTAGGTTACTCGGGGCACTTAAGCAGCGGAGGTACCTTGCTAAACAAATGCTTATACAACTGTGCCACTGACATGAAGTGATTGAGTATCTACTTATGCTCTGTTAGCCCAGAAATAAATCAGCTAAAACCAAACCCAGACAGTGCTTCGTAGACTTCACCAGGAAGCAGCACCGATACCAGGGGTGTTATGCGTTTCATAGGTTAATTGTCAGGTTCGTGTCATAGTTTTGGTAGGAACAAGAAGAAGAGTTTTACCACTACTGATGGCTTCTGTGAAAAATAAAATCATTTTCCAGCTCTCAAGACTGAATCAAGAGCTGCAGTGCACTAAGAGGCTGATTGAGGACAAAGCATTACATCATCAGATTTTCAAAGCCTCTATTTTCTAAACTTAACTGCATTTTCCCAGGAACAGAACAATGATCTTTTTATCACCCTCAACAATACATCTGATACAGAAGAATAATTTCCACTTGTATTTTTTTTCTATAGTCAGAAATATACAAGATGGATAAATAGATAGACTGTACATCACATTAATGTACATGCATGAACCTATTCTTCAGATTAAGGATTCCACCTTAAACAAAGTCCTTGATTTGTAACACAAGCCTACCTTAAGCATGCAAAACCCATAAAATAAATGATAAACATAGCCATCATGTTGCTTTTATTGTATCTAACCATGATCTCTGTGCACCTAAACTACACGTATTTGTAAATTAACATTTTTCTCACCACAGTACTGTAGAGAAACGCTAGACAGCCTCACAATGGAGTGCATGGAGAACTGAAAACAGTCCAGTTTAACCCAATTATCTAAACCGATGTGAACTAGGAGAATAAGAGCCAGTGGTAAGAAAAACATTTTTTCCCCTTTCATGTTTTTGGTTTGTTCTGCCAATCACAGCACTTCTGCCCATAACTCAATTAGGATCCATTACAGTTACTTTACCAAGTTCGAAAGAAAGGTCTTTATGAGGACAAATGTTGAATGAATTTAACGTTCATTCAGTTGAGACTGAAAAGAAAAATAATGCAATATCGCAGTGGCAAAACACGCTTCGCACTCCAACAGTAGGTAAGAAAAACAAATAAAATACAGCAAACAATTTACCACATTCACATTTTATTGTCCATGTACACTCTCAGCTTCAGTTTTCTGCGTTACAATCAACTTAAAATGAGTTGCTCTTTCTGCTTGTTTACCTCCCAACAAACAAATAAAGCAAAAGTAGCCCAGCATTGTGTCGACATAAACTGCTAACGACAAACACATATAACAGCACACATTTCTCAGAGGGTACCGACATTATTTCAAATCATACACACTCACACACACTCATATGCTCACACACACAGAGAACAAGAACCTCCCTGGGTTTGTAAGATGTCCATGAGTAACATTTGAACGAAAATAACCAAGAGAAAGATGGGAAATGAGGGAATGAAGGAGGTTAAAGGGAAGGAGGAGAGTGACAGGGGGTAATCAAATTGAAAGAAGAAACACACTGTAAGAGTATCAGCTGATCTAAATAATGGAATAACTTAAACTCCTGCACACACACACACACTCAAAATGCCTCATATACATACAGGTTCCCAGAAACAATACTTAATAAATTACAAAATAAAAAAAAAAAAATAGCCATGCGCTAGCTGTACAAATGCAACAGAAATGTACCTCATCCTCATAAACAAACAACAAATAATGCAACAAACTACTTTATTCTCTTAACACAAAGCACCATCTGTTATGCATGGGTCTCTCCTAAGCAAATCCATGAAATGTACACACAGATTGGAGGAGAGAATAAAAAGGAAACAGAATTCCAGTATAATTTTCTAAAACATCACAGCAACATTATCACCAGGTTTGGGCGGAACTCTGAGAACTTCAAACTAATGAGGTGACTGAAGTTGAGCTTTTCAAACAGTGACATATTGTAAAGTGATGTTTCACTCTTTGTTTTGCGTGTATATCCAAAGTGCAAAAAAGTTTTTTCTGCTCTATGCAGCTCATGCGTCTTGTTCATTACTGCTTTGTCTAACATTATAATACTGTCTATTGTTAAAAACAATGAAATCACCAACAGTGCATGTGGATATTTTACATTCCATCTTCACGTTTTTACTGCTGACCAAGAAACTCAAACCAAACCTGTGTTAGTTAGTTTGTGGTGTGCGATTATATCTGCGTTTGTATTTGTATTGTACAAGGTGTGTCTTGATAAAGACGTGAACATTCTACATTTGACTGATATAGTTACAGATTTGGATAAAGCAAGGCAAACAGCACATGGACGATCGGACCACATGCACTGTGGCCGAAAGGGGGGGGGGGGGGGGAGTGAGGACACAACTCAAGTGTAGGTACATTTGAGTAGGGTTATTTTCTACATGAGACGCTTTCTACTTTAGATAATCTGCAGCTAAGTTTTGATACGCGGAGCCGTTTGATCATCTGTGCATCCCATGTAGACACCTTGGCTTGTCAGAAGAAAAAAAAAAAGAACGGAGGACGGGAGACAAGCGAGGAAAGGCCCGCACCAACAAAAGGAAGAAGTAAAAAGTTAAAGTGCAGGGTGAGACTATAGAAAGGAAGAAGGGAAATAAGAAGGCAGATCGGTTGGATCTTTAAGCTGGTCAGTGGGGGAGATCCAGTTTCCCCTCAATCACCAGGAGTGTTTCATTCAAAACAGGGTCACGGGTGAGAGGGGTTTCAAAAACAGTACCTAGAGAAACCACTGGCTCTATTACACTACCACAGCCTTGTCAGGTAGCTTCAGTGTGAGATCGGCTGTAAAAAATGAGCAAGTGGACAAGGGTTCAAGTTAAGGATCGGCGGTGCCTGCTGTTTGCTGCTCTGGCTAGCTATATGTGAATCTCAGAGGCTATATGGTGTCTGAGGTCAGGGGTTACGGTTCATGAAGGTTATAGTATGACGGTGGAAGGTGAAAACATTCACTGAAATGCATCCTGTCTGCAGTGAAAGGCAGGTAGTGGACGCACCTTCACGATCAACGCAGCACCTGAATGGTGCCAATGTAGCCTACGTACCATAATTAAGTGTCTAGATAATAAGGTCAGGTGTAAATCTAAGATATTTATTCACCAGTCAAGGTGAAAATAGTGTTGGAACTGTTTTACCTGTGAAATCTTTAATCAGTTAACAATCCAAGCAATGGCTGGTTTTAAGCTCAGACTGCTAGCTATATTGGAGATAAAGACCTCAGCGTTAGTCCCTGTGATTTGTCTCGGAGTCCGACAGGTGATCGTGGTGCTCGGGATTCTCATGGACTTCGATGCCGTGCTCGTTTTCAGGCTCGGCGTCCTCATCGTTGCTCTCCGCGCTGTAGTCTATCGCCTCCAGAAAGGACGGCTCGTCCTCCTCCATCACATAGGTGGTGGGGCTGCTGCTGGGTAACAAAACAAGACATTTCTCTGAGTTAATGAGGTGAATATGCCTGTCACAGCAAAAACACTGCATATACATCATGTCAGCTTTTCAGGACTTTGGTAAAGGCGCATTACACCACTAATGCCTATGGATATTTTAAAATTACACAGCACATTTCTGCAAGCTTTACTTTGAGGAACTATTGAATAAATGATAAACATTTGTATAGCACTTCTTAAAAACAAATGCACATCTTTGCTCACTGTATAGCATATAACTTGTGTTCCTCTGCTTCACTCTGAGCTGAACTCAGAGTCACTAAGAGCTCTCTGATTTCACAGAATAAATACCCAAGAAAATGCATTTGAAATGGGTTTCATGGTCCTTCAAAGTGCACTGCTGAGAAGCCCATTTCTTGAAAGCAAAGAAAACACAAACCAAATATTGCATGAGGTATCCATACTAAATGTATGACTATCAATATGCCTTATGTTTATTTGGATAAATTATCTTTGCTTTATAATGTGTTTAGTTAGAGAAGAAAATCTGAATGACATGAAGCGTGTGATCATGCAACTTAGCATTACCACAATATCTGATGAAATGATTTGAAATTAAATGCAGTAATAGTAGAGTTGCAACTGATGATTATTTTCATTATTGATGAATCTATCAATTATTTAAGATTAATTAATTAATTTTTTAGTTTATAAAGGATGACAAATGTCAGAATTTCGAGAGCCCAAGGTGATTTATTCAACTTTCTCGTCTAGCAAACAGTCAAAAATTCAAGTTCAAATTCAAGAAAATTTAGCTTACAAAAAAGATAAAAGCAAGAAATCCTTAATTTTGAGAAGCCAGAACGAGACAATGTTTGGCATTTTTGTTTCATAAATAAGTTTATATTTATCAACACTGTTGCAGATCGACTAATTGAATAAATGTTTCAGCTCCAGCTTGTGACAAAACAACCAACAGTGAATTTACTACAATATTATATCCATTCAAATATAATTTATGTCAGAATACAAGCTGGAAAACAGTTGTGTACTCTGACTGGCAAAGCAGTTTTTTTTTCCTGTGGGTCTTAATGGTTAAATGGTTGCTGGTTCTTTGAGGTTTTAGTGGCTTTAGTGGCTTTTTAATGGTGTTAATGGTCTGAAATGTGATCCCGGAGAGACAGTCGATCGGGGGGCTCAGACAATGATCTCCCACCAAGCTCACCAGTGTGTGAGTGCAAGACTGAGAGACAGAGAGAGGAATTGTGCATCAGTATATGTACAGTAAATGTGGATGTGTGTGATAATGTGTGTGTGTGTGTAATGATGTAGATGGACAGAATATTGTCCAAACAGATAATGAGAGAGAAAGGAGAGATTGGGTTTGTTTTTTTTCTATAATGGCCTGTAATGGTTGACTCACAACTGAGTTACATTTTCTAGATCCATCATCTCTATATACAATCCATCTTAATATACTGAGCCATGTATACATTAAAAAACACAATTACCTTCATTCACATGTGGATAAACCTCCACATCTTCAAACCATCGCACACATACATCTCTTTCTATCTTCTTTACACTCAGACAAAAACACACCCATGCCCGCATCCACCTATTTACTCACTCTGAGACACCCGCTTAGTTGCAGACGCCTTCCAATGGCCACAATATCATTGTTGTGATGACCTATTAAATGGTAAGTGGTACCATACCAAGCCCCACGCATAAAAACCATAAACCCGGGATGGAGAGCAACAAATCCCGAAGGACACGCAAACACAAAAGCACCAGAACACTTTTGGAGTCCCTTAATGATCAGACACATAAATGATGAATGAATATATCAATATGAGAGTAGAGTAGGTTAGTAAGAGAGAGAGACTGGGAGACAAAGAGAGAGACGTAAGCATTAAGTGGTTTTGAGTTTAAAGCCATTCTTTCAAATCAACTGCTTTAACAAATCTGTGGCGCAGAGAACGTTTAAAAAAAAGAAATTAAGATAACCTTGGTGGTCACGGTTTGGGTTTGGCCAAGTTTAATAATTTATTTGTGGCGTTGCACCAAAGTACAATCTAATCTGTGTGGACTTTATATTTCCAATCAGGGAATTATAATAGAGTTGATTTGATATACAGTAAAGCTTTGTGGTCATCTGTTTGGATGTACAAGAGTAGCACTGTCATCATTTGAAGGTAACTCTTAAAATACAGATAAAGGATCAATAAACATTTGATCATGATGTTAGAATTAAAACCTAATTTATCTTATCTAACCCTTACGTTGTTTTGGGTCCACTTTAAAAGCTTAAAAAAAAAACCATACTTAACATTAGTTTATCAACCTGATACTTCATAACTTTTCCTACTTTTAGCAAGCGTACTGTGTGGCAAAGACGACGATAAGGACTTTTAGATTTAAATTTTTTTGCTTCTAAGAAAGAATGAACACTTATTTGAAGTAGGACAGATCAATTAGTCAAGTAGTATCAATTAGTCACTCAAATCCTCACACTGAAGAAGCTGAAACCAGAAAACCATAGGTTATTTTTACACAATAAATACCAAAAGTGATTTATTTTCTGGTGAAGGATAAATAGACTAATCTTTTCAGCACCAATTTGAAGGGGAAAATCTGGTTGATTTTACAATCATTATAATTCATCTTACACACACACACAGCACACCAAACACTGAGGAAATAGCATTAATGTAACCTTTGGTTTGCCTAAGCCTCGTCTGTACTCTCCAAAGAGAGAAAGAGAAGGACCAAGGCATTAAG